AGGCTGCTTCTTCTAAGGGCCACGAGAAGATCGTTCAGATGCTGCTCGACAAGGGTGCCGACTTGTTAGTACCTAATAAGGACGGATGGACGCCACTGCACGGAGCGGTCACAAAGGACCTAACAACGGCGAAGCTTCTACAAGAGGCGGGAGCCGATATCCATACTCGCAGTAAGGATGGCCATACACTACTTCACGAATCAGTGTCCTCTAGTCAACTAGAAACTACCCAGTGGCTCGTTAGCCTTGGACTAGGTTTAAACGAGGTCGATACCATCGGCCAGAGTCCGCTCCACCTCGCGGCCTCGAACGATTGCCTAAATATCGCAACGTTTCTACTAGAAAATGGCGCCTTCCTCGATCTATCAGACATTATTAGCCGGACTCCACTACACTGCGCGATCCATACCGGCAGCAATGTGACTTTAAAGCTACTACTCTCAAAAGAAGCAAACCCCCATCTCCTCGACACGTACGGGAAAAGCGCCACCGACTGGATACATTAAAACAGCCGTTTACAGGAGGTAGTAGGCGAGCTGATTACTATCTCTCCAAGCGCTCAACAAAGCAAAGCTATTCCACAACTACGCCGCTCTGTCTGGACTCTAGCATCACGACTACTAGAGAACGGTGGTCAGCAAACTTGGCCGGGCTATCATGAGCTCGGCCATTGCTTGATATATCTAGACCAGCGCACTGAGGCGGTAACTGCGTTCCAGCAACAAGTTATTACTAGCTTAAATGCTTCGAATATCTCCCACAATGTATTCTGTAATAAGTGCCGGATATGCCCCATCCCCGGAGTCCGGTACGTGTGTACAGTATGTCCAGATGTCGATATCTGCGGCAAGTGCTGGGACGAGGATAGCCAGAGAGTCTATCCATCGTACTGTTCTGGACACGAGTTTTTATCGATCTCCAAACTGACCCCACAATGTGAAGGTGTTGATGTTGTGAATACTCTAGGGGAAACGAGGATTGCATGGCTAGAGCGAATCAAGGACACTTTCGGTCTATCGTTTTAGGAGTCCGGCGTTGGTGAGTGAGAAAAATGGATGTTTTAGCATAATAAAGGAATAGAGGCAAAGGCGTTTTTCGTTAGGTATAGAAAAAAGCAAGGATTCATTGTTTATAAATGATGCCACGGGAATGGATAAATGCTAAGGCAAGAGTACGAGCTAAAAAGATGTTTTGGGTAAGAAAACAGCTTCACTCCAGTGTCTTGTTAAACTCTTTGGCCTAGGTGTCCGCCGGCGCATTACAAGTTTGCGTAGTTGAACATCTTAGACACAACATCGTTGCCTAGGTTATACAGTGAGCGGACATTGTTAGCATGGCTAATAAACGAATAATTGAAATATGAAAGGATACGGCTTTTATAACTAAGTTTATACTAGTATCCAGCGGACTTGCATTTTGTTTGAAGCAAAGCTTGCGCGACTAGTTACTATAGGGAATTGTCAGCCAGGATCACTCCGATAACTCTCGTTTTTTCAGCCTTATTACAGTCAGTTGTTACACTACAGCCTTACCCCTTACACCACACGTTTATCCACTGCAAGGGAATAAGGATCTTAAAGAGAAAACGTATTCTTTTAGATAGCAGCATATATACCTACATAGGTAGTAGTAATTTAGGGGACAAGCGGCGTCCAATTCCTCGCGCCCAGCTCCACAGTTTCATATAACAACGTTCAATAAAATCTTCCATTATACTTTAAAATTGTTTGTTTAATGGTGGAGTTTATTGTATATAAGTGTTGAAGTGTACGCAGTTTATATTGCTTTTTCTGTGGCTTAGTCATTTAGCACAGGGTATAAGAGGACTCCGCCTACCGGGCTCCTAACAAGATCATGCCACTCATTGCTATCAATTGAAACCCCATTCATTGCAACACATAATGTCCATGATTCTTGGTGAACTTATGGTACTGGTGCTGCTTCTTCTAGGGTTTGCCAACAAGTTTCAGCCACAGACACCCAAGCAAGAAAACGAAAAAATAGGAGAAGAAACATTAGGCGGGGACGATGATCTGCCAGAATATCCGATGCCCTTAGTCTCTACCTGCAGCGCCGCCATTAGTGCAGCGTGCCACAGGCATCCGGAGGACAAAGACGCACATCTGCTCCCAGTAAAATGGGGCTACGTTACCGATAGGTCGGGAGACGGGTCTACGGAAGAAAAAGGGAGGTTCTGTTTTACTAGCGCGAGAGATGTCAAATATCCTACAACTGTGGAGGGTATTGTTTTTAAAGAGTAACCGAATGGCTTCCACATCCTTACGCCCAATCACTTTCAAAAGTAACCCACCCGCTGCACATCCAAGTATATATAAGAAAAAGCTGGGATGAACCTACTATAAGCCTGTCCTATATCCCGCTTAGAAACAAATTGCCGTCCGAAGTCCAATGCGGCTGGAAAACATCGACGAGACCTTATCAAGAGGGATGATCAAGGGAACATGTATCCCAAAGGGAGGAAGCTATTAACAGCTTGTACATCCCTAGAGGACATGGTTGGTCAATCACTGTCAGGCTAGACTTGTTTACGACGACATCGACGCGTACGCAGCCTCTAGCGATGCCGCCGCCGCAGCGACCAGGCAGGCGGTCTGGGATCTAGGACCTAGACGCCGTTGCCGATGACGGCGTGGGAGCGCTTTGGATTACCGATCGCGTCGGAGATGCGAGCATATAGGCTAGTCGTCGAGTGCGCGGTTTAGGAAGTACCTATGTTGGTACTTGAGCTTATGCTTGTGCTGGCGTGTTAGGAGTAGGGCGCAGCTGGGCGCGCGCGCGCGCGCGCGCGCGCGCGTGTGTGTGTGTGTGTGTGTGTGTGTGTGTGTGTGTGTGTGTGTGTGTGGTGAGGTGGGTAGGGAAGATATATACAACCAACTGACACAAATTCATCGTGCCTTGAAGCGTGTCTGGCAGTTCAGTGAAGAGAAATTGGGAGAGGAAAGATCTTTTCGTCCAGCGAAAATACCTACAGTGGTCTTGCGCCACGTTTTCCCACGCAGCTTGCAGAGCACTGCGTCCTGATGCTGGGCCAAGACGACTCATACACACCCACCCACCCACACAAACACAAGCAAATCCAATCAAAGCAAAAATAGAAAGAAAGCCGCGAGTAAAAGCAGCATAAACTCCATCCTCTATTCCACAGCACCACACACAACACGACTGCTACCAACCACTCTACGTACTACCGAAAACGAACACGCCCTTCCCGTCCCTAAACCCCTCCAGCGTGCCCTGCACCGCCTCCACCAGCGTCTCCTGCTTCGTATCCCAATCCCACTTGACCTCCTGCACCGGGGTATCCTTAAACCTGCCCTCACGAATCAACTGCAAGACATGATCGACGGTTTTCTTCTTCTCCTCGAAATTGCCCTTGCTCCACTTGCTGACCCAGAAGCCATCGAAGTGGATGTCCTTGAAGATGAGCAGCCCGGTGGGCAGCTGCACCGGCTGCTTCGACATGGCGCCGTACGTGACCAGGTGGCCGCCCTCGGCGAGCAGCTTCGCGAGCGCCGACGCCGGCTTGCCGCCTACGCAGTTGAGCGCCAAGGGTAGACGCTCCCGCCCCCCGTTCGTCCATTCCTTGACCCGCTCGCTGAAGCCCTTCTCCATGAGCTCTTCGTCCGTGACGACGACGTCGGCGCCCAGGTCCGTGAGCTCCTGCTTCAGCTGGTCGGTGCCGGTCGGGCGGGCGCGGATGACATTGATACTCTTGTAGCCGAAAAGCCTGCCCAGCTGGATAGCAGCGCGGCCGACGCCGCTGTTGGCGCCGTTCTGGACGAACCACTCGCCCTCCTTCAGGTCCGCAAAGTCCTTCAGCATGCGGTACGCGGTGCAGGGGTTGATGCTGACGGTGCCGGCCTGGACGGGGGAGATGCCGCTCTTGTCGTCGATCTTGAGCAGGGGCGCGGCGTCCGTCTGCGCGTGCGTGCGCCACGTCCCGAAGCCCGGCGCCTTCTGGATGACCCAGTCGCCCTTCTGCAAGCCCTTGACGGCGGAGCCGACGGCGACGACCTCGGCCACGCCCTCGTTGCCTCCCACTGCTATCGGGTCCGGCGTGCTCATCTCGGTTGTGAACGTCGGTTTCGACGGGTACACGCCCTGGATCTGGTTGATGTCGGCGGGGTTGATGGGCGCCGCCAGGAAGCGCAGCGTCACTTTGTTCGAGTGCGCCGGCGCGATCGAGTGCTTGTGCAGCGAGAGGACGTCTTTGGGCTCGCCGTACGTCTTGAACGTTAGCGCTTTGGCTTGCTCGTAGCCGTAGCCGGCTGAGATGAGGCGCGTTTGCGTGTGGGTGAGGGTGCGGGACGCGGCCATGGGGGCCGCCAGTGGCCGCAGGCCGGTTGTTGCGATTCTGCGCGTCGCCATTGTGCGTGTGTGCGTGGTGTATTTACAGGTAGGTGTTGTACGGGGAGACGAATGGAAGAGCTTGGGAGGAGAGCTCTGGCGGGAGAGCTCAAGAGCTCCAAAATGACGTCGCAGCCCACGACCGAGGATCAACCGCCGTTCGGGTCGAAGGAAGCAAATCAGCATTGCTGTATATCACCACCAAACCAAGCATCTTGTGTAAAAATTCGAATCTCCAAGCCAATTGCAAAGCAAAGCAAACCCCAAACCCGTCTCCCACTCCTATATAGAACAGCACCCCTCACCTATTACTCTAACCCGGGTATCAAATATCAAAACAGCCCATCCACTGCCTACCTTACCTACCTACCTTCCCCCACCAGACCCAAACAAGCCCGACCTCCTCCGCCGAACCGACTCTCTCCGCTCCACTCCGCTCTCCATGCTCGTCCCCAGCCCCGAATCGCGATCCATATGCCTGCCCGCCTCATCAATGACGAAGTCTGCGTCCTCGTCCTCATCATCCGCCTCCATAGCCGTTGGAATCGCTTCTAGGGGTGTCGGCTCCTCCTCCGCCTCCTCCTTCTTGACGCGCGGCGACGAGTACCGCAGCGACGGCTGCCGCGCATACGAGGGGAACGTGCGCGACGTGTCGGAGAGGTTGTCGTCGTCGGCGGCTTCGTCGTCGTCGGCGCTCTCGTCCTCCGTCTTGATTGCCCCCTCTTTCTTGATTTTGGTTTTTTCGCGCTTCGGCGCATCGGTGGTGTCCAGCGTGAAGAAACGAGACAGTGCCAGCCAGGCCAGCAGCGTGAATGTCATCTCGACGGACCAGAATGCAATCGTGAAGACGACGAACGACGAGATGCGGAAGTTGTACATGAGGTATCTGTGGCACAATCAGCTTCCACTCTTCAACCAGCACGTCTAAGGGACACGCGCAAACATACCTCAGCCCCCGCAATCTCGCCTCAAACTCGACCCTTACGCCATACACCTGCATGCGCTCCACGCTCTGCAGCTCCAGCCTCAACTTAACCGGGATATTTCTCCACCCGCGTTCAAACACCACGCCCTCCATCAAGCCGACCTTCAGCGTCTCCGCCTCGCGCCGCCACCCCACAACATACCAGGGCATCTCGAGCGCCTTGTGGACGAGCTCGACGCCCGGCGAGCAGAAAGTCAGGATAGCGGGTCTGCGCGAGCGGGCCAGGACCTCCGGCTCTTGCTTCTCACGAGCAGCGGCCTCGCTCTCGCTCCCCGCACCCACCACTTTGTCCATCAAGGGCGTTCCCGTCTCCGGCCCCAGCAGCGCGAGGTCCAGCATGAAGTTCCCGGCCTCCTTGTTCGCTGTCGTGGGCGGTAGCGTCAATGCCACTCTGACATCGTACGCTTGCCCCGACACCAGCTTCTTTCCTATGTCTGCTATGCCGTGAGGGTGGTGTTCTTGCGTGGGGCTAAACTGCAGCCACACATCAACGCCCACCCCCCTAACCGGGACATAAGCGCAATAAAACAGGGCATAAGCAACAGCCGCCAGCACAGCCAACGCGATGGCCGCGAGCAGCAGCAGGGCGGAGCCGACGTAGGCTCTGCGCGCGCGCTTCGACGTTGCCAGAGTTATCGGGGCGAGGGCGCGGTCCTGTTGCATGTGTGTTAGTTGCTGGCTGTGGGGGAGGGTGGTGGGTGGTGGGTTTTGGGGGATTGGGGGATATAAAAAGTAAAGTAGATACCCTAAGCACAAGCAGTCCGCCCCTCGCCTTGCCCACAACGCCTCCATCGACATCGCGGTCATCGTCGTCCTCATCAGAGGAGTAAGAATTCGAATTGGGATTGGTGGTAGAAGCCATTCTGCTGCTTCTTCACATTGTTCCTTGCGGCAGGGAAATCTGTAGGTCGGCAAATCGGTCGCTCCGTCGATTGATTGGTTGGTTGGTTGGTTGGTTGTAGTGTAGTGGAAGTAGGTAGATATTGTGTGGAGGAGGAGGAGAAAGAGGAGGACGAGGAGAGGTCTAGGCCAGGACGACGACGGGAGCGGGAGGATCGCGCACAAGGGTGACGTCGCGTCCCTGCCTGCGCCGAAATAAACTGGCGCACGGACTTCAAATCACCACCTAGACGCGACCATAATCAAACGCCAAATGTCCATACGCCAAACGCGAAATGCGACGCCCTCATCAGCTCACGCACGCACATCAACATCAAACAATAGGTAGATAATTCCTTCATCCACGAAAAACAACGAACAAACAAAAACATGGTTATTACCTTGCCTGCCTGCCCGCCTGCCAGCTGGAAACAACCAACAACAACCAAAGAAGGGGGAAAAAAGGTATCGTATCGCCCAAAATCCAGCCAACGCCCCTAGATCGCACATTCGTAAGAACGAGAAAAAGAACACCACCCAATCGTGACCGCCGCCCATCATCCAAGCATCCAACACCCAACACAGACACCGACACCGACACCAACACCATGCCCCAGCGACGAACAGAGCCCAAGACATGAGAAGCAGACGCAAGACATCAACAAGCAGTAGCAGAAGAAGAAGAACAAGAACGAGAACAAGAAGACGAGGAAGAAGCGCGTGCTCACGTCTCCTCGACCCCGTCCATCTCATCTCCCTGCATGTCCTGCTCCTCGCACTCGCGCTCCACCTCCTCGGCCACAAACTGTTCGTAGTCCTCCAGGCTCTTCTGGATATGCACCTTGAACTTGATGACGTCGTTAAGCATGCGTTCAATCTCCGTGTGCAGCTGCTCTCTCAGATCCGAAGCTCGGAGCTGCAGCTGTTCGTACCTGTAGTAGACAAACCAGTCAGCGCGCTGTCAAAAGCCCCCAACAACGACAAAGTCCACTTACTCAATGTTCGTGTTCATCTCCCTCTGCTCCATCAGCTGCACGCTCTCACTCAGCCCTGTCCGCATCTTCGCCAGCTCCTTTTCCATGCGCTCAATCTGCGTGTCCGACGCCATCTTCTGCGCCGTCGTGATCTCGCGCGTCTTCTCAAACTCCTCTTCGGCAGCCCGCACGCGGTGGCCCAGATCCTCGACTTCCGACAGCTTGTCCTCCATCGCCTCCTTGACCTGGTCGAGTATCACGTGGTTCGCAAAGTCGTCCTCTTGCGCCGCCGACAAGCGGTCCCGAATTTCCTTGCGCAAGCTCAGGATGTTGTTCTTCAGGTCGCGACGCGGGTCCATGTTGAGAAGGTCAGGGTATTGATAGCCGTTACCGTTCTCCGCCAGCAGGCGGTTGCTCGAGTCCTGGGAGTTGCCCATCTGGGATGCGCTAAAGTTGGGGCCCTCGCTGAGCGTAAGGACAAGCTCGTAGTCCCTGTTGTTGGCGTTCGGGGCGCTGGCAGGGATAATGCCAATCTCGTACCCCATCGAGTTGTACTTCTCGACCTTGCGCTCCAGCTCGTCAAGCTTGCGGCTGGCCTCATACTCCTTTTCTGAGATCTTTTTGCGCGCTTCCTCCAGGCGCATGCTGGTGGACTCGACGCCCTTTTGCAGACGCTCGCGCTCCGTGTTCATGCGGTCAATGTCCTGGATGGTGATGCCCTGCTTGTCGACCATCTCCTGGAGGTTGGACTTCTCCTGCTCAGCCTCCTCGAGCTCGGCTTCGATCTTCTTGATCTCGTCGTCGAGGAGCTTGGCGCGGTTCTGGTACTTTTCAACCTTGGCCTCCATGTTGTTGTTGTAGTTTTCGAACTTGACACGGTCTTCTTCGAGGATTTTGATTTGTTCGTCCAGCTTGGCGATTCTGGGTCCATTCTTGCTGAGCTCGTCAATCTGGTCCTGCAGCGCCTTGTGCTCAGCCTCGAGCACCTTGACTTGCTCCAAATGCGCTGCGTTTGCGTGGTCGAACTTTGCGGCCATGCTGTCGACGTGCCTTTGGATCAGCTTCTCGGCCTCGTCGTCAGCGTCGTCTTCCACCTGCAGCCACTCCCGGTAGGCGTCCGTCAAGAACTGGAAGATGATGCGATCGCCGCTGACATCGTAGCCAGCCTCCATGCACGCATCGTCATAGGCGCCCGAAGAGTACTGCTCCAACATCTGCGCCAACTGCATCATCCAGTGCAACAAGCCCAAGAAGGTTGGCCAATTGTTGCCACCGACGGCTGCGATTTGCGACTTCATGATGCTCTTTTCAAAAGGGTAGCGCATCTGCTTGAGAAGAGGGGGAACTTCCTGGTCAATGTTCTTCTGGAAGCGGTAGCTAGGATCGATGCGGTGGTAGAGCCATTGGAACATGCAATTGAAGTCCTTTTGGGTGGGCGAAGTCATCGACTTGTGTGTGAGCGAGTGCTTCATGTCCATTTCAAAGTTGTGGTGCGTCAGGTACTCCATGAGATCCTGGGCCATCTGAGCGCGGACGTTCGCGTCCTTCAAGCGACGAGGGTCCTGGGGAATAGCCTGCGGGACAGGGGCGGTAGCGAAGAAGCTCTGGTGGGTGCCCATGGCGCCGCCGCCAGTCGACGGCCGCGCGCTCCACACGCTGCTGCGGCGCTGGGAGCCCTGGTCGAGCGACATCTGCGGGGCAGGCGTGGCCATGACGCCCGGCGCATAGCTCTTCCTGCCGCCGCTGGCGAACATGTTGGCGTTGGACTGCCTGTGGACGGAGGCGAAGCCCATGTCGGCGAGGTTGTTGCCCGACGACGAGCGATTGAAGTTGGGCTGGGCGGGACGGCCCAGGCCCGGCGCCAGCGACATGCGGCCGCCAGACGTCGAGCGCCCGTGGTTGAGGTTCGTGTTGGATGTCGAGCGCTTCATGGCCGACTGCGGCATGGGGATGGCGGAAACGTTGCTGTTGATGCCGCCGAGTGTCTGCGTGCGGCTGTCAGTATTGACGGGCGAGATGGAGTTTGCGCGGATGGCAGCGACGCACCTCGCGCGGTCTCCGGACGGAGAAAAGGCCAGGTTCTTGCGCCATGGCCAGAGATGCGTTATGCGAATGTGCGATGGAAGTGGAGTGCGACGCGAAAGCAAAAGCGGGAGGGTGGTGGTGGTGTGGTGATGGTGGGGAGTGGATGGTGCTGGTGTTGCAGCGGGCAGCTCTGTTTGTTTACATCGGGCGGAGAAGCGACAGGCAGGCACACAGCGACCGAGCGACCGAGCGACGGACAACCCAAATTGACAGGGATGTGTCGGGATTCGGCAAAACCAACTTTCCGGTCCCCTTGCGGGGCGGTCTCGAGTTTCTTGCCGCCCGCCGCCATCACCACCGCCTCTCCACCGCTGCAAATCCCCGACAAAAAACGACAATCCACCACCACCGCCAACATGCCTTCTGGACAAGGAAGTGAGTAGCAGCCTCTTCTCCACACGCCTCGCGCGCAGCGGCCGTTTCGTTCGTGGCTGACCCCGCTCGCCTCGTGTAGCCGGCACGAACCCGCTGCACAACAAGAAGCCGAAGAAGAAGGTCGTCGAGGAGGACGAGGAGGACCTCGCCTACAAGAAGAAGCAGCAAGCCGGTGAGTAACCACCAAACCCCCCTCCCTCCTTTCCCATGCCGGCAGCGAAAGCACAGCAGCAAGCAAAAAGTCGCCCCACCCCACTCACCCCCGACAAATCTTTCGCCCCCCCACTCTCCTCCGCACCACACCCCGGCTAGGCAGCTAACGCCACGCAGACAAGAAGGCCCGCGAGGAAATGGCCAAGAAGGCCCAGGGCAAGGGCCCGCTCAACGGCGGCCAGCAGGGCATCAAGAAGTCGGGCAAGAAATAAGCGCGTCGTCGGCGGCTGCGATTTTGGCTGTGGCGAGATGAACGACGACACGGAAAAACGGCAACACTTGGCTGCCTTCGCCACCCATGCGCATGGGAGCGCGATACACGCGGGCAAGGCTGTCGGCTGTCGTCGCGGGCACGCACACACACACACACACACACACACACACGGGGCGTTCTCTTGTATAGGCGTACTACTGATTACCTTGAGTGGCGGATGATACCACGAAATAAATGTTGAGGGCGGGCGCGTTTTGCCCCGCCGTGCTGCTGTTGTTGCTGTTGCTTCTATGTGCTTACTTGTTCGTTCACCAACCGACCTCACTCGCTCACCGACCCCACCACAACAACAACATGGAACAACTCCAACCCAAACCGCAATATCAAGCGCACCGCGCCGCACCTACGAGCACGAAGCAGAAAACCAAACCAAAACAG